CTCCCATTGCTGAAAGTGACCTCGTCTCTGTCTCCTGGATGACCTCGTCTAAATCTTCTATCACCATTCATATCCATACTATCTCCTCCGGACAAGCCTAGCCAAAATGCCATACAACACTCGCCGCAAATCTTTGTCTCTCCCATCGCTGGGCATTCATGTTCCAGGGAGCCATCCAAGTCGCAATTCGGCCACTGCCGCCCCAAGTCGAAGCAATTCCGAGAATGGGGGAAATCGCGTAACAATTACATCGACAACAACAGCGCGCCCGAATAAGAGACAAAAACGCTCCCATGGGGATGAGACAGGGCATGGGCCGACGTCACAAAAACATACCGGAGACGCTGTGGTTTTCGACCATACGCCACCGCCGTCTCCGACAAGAAGCAATGTCGAGATGCAGGAATCCCACAGCGACTCCGAATCTGCTACTCACATGACGATCGAGGGAATCAACGACGAGATTGTAGAAGCTACTATTGCCCAACTACAGGCCACCTGCAACCGACCTCATCTGGTGCGAGAGCTGGCAACTGTGCTTTCGCAGCGGATTCCAATTGTCAAGAAGTAAGCCCCTCAGCTCCGTTCTTGAGTTATTACAAACTTTCTAACAGATTCGTAGCTCTGCAAACCCATGCGCCATTGTTTCCTCCCGCCTCTCCGCCTACCTGAAGCGATCCTGTTGGAGTGTTCGAGCACCTTGCCCGATGGCTAAGGAACTCGAAAAGATACACCCACGCCGGACATATTTCTATCTCACAACGCGCCCAAGACTGCCTTTCCCAGACTCTCCGGCCTTCGCTCAGCGCGCTGTCATTTCTCCATCTCTCTCTAGCATCGCATCTGGATCCGAAGATGGTGACGACATTGACCTTCGCCGACGGGATTTAAGCCCCTCCCCCGAGGTTGATCTTTCCTCTCCTGAATTTGATGATGGTGACGAAGACCTTGCCATGCCTACTACTCCCGTCGGGTCACTACCAAGCAGTTTCCGGTACTCAAGAAGCCAACGCAGTGCCTCTCCTCCTCTGGAGAAAGATGAACGAGAGTTCACGCAGACGGCCGACGGTCTGCAGAAACGCAAACTCGCCCGCGAACTGTCTTTGACTGGCAATGGCGAGCAATCTGCCAATGCCTATGAACCGGCACGGGATGATGGCATGTTCGACGAGAAAACCGGCGTGGCCGTAAACAGCGGGCTGGCAACTATGCATCAGTTCATCACAAGCCCAGCCTTCAAGGCAACCGTCCCGGCGAGCGCCAGAAAGGAAATTGATGGCGACAGCTGGTTCAGACTGGGGGGCCTCCTAGAATGGGATCATAGCCCTGAAAGTATTGAACTTGATGAGCTTGATTGTTTGCTGGACTCTTGTTAACGGCCGTGAAATGTTACGTGTAACGAAGGCATGCTCATGTCCCGTATCAGCGTACGGAGTATCGACTGAGTATATTTTGCGCAACTCAGTGCCAGGTCCTGCTTGGCCTGTCGACTCTGAAACCAACTGGGCTCCCTTTCCGGAGATTTGATACTTAGCTGGCGTTGCTGGATAATGGTGAAAACAAAAATGGAATCAGGGCATACGATAGCGGGAAGGTTGATTTCGTTTGGAAGTACAATCAGGGAATGGGCGGATGTCTTTCTTGTATTAGTAGTTGTAAGACCAGCTGGTCCCGAGGAAGTCTCTGTAGGCTTGGGGTTTGGGAATCTAAGCTGGGAGGATCGAACTCGAAAATTGGCTGGGTATGATTGAAATGAAATAAACAAACCTCCCCTTTCTCTACAAGTCTTGAAAATCAGCTGTTGACGCCGACTTCTTGTTGACCACCAGATTGCAACAAATGCATCATGACTCTTCGCTTGTGAGTCTGGAGACCAGGGGTTGCCTAAGACACACCCGAATCCGAAACTCTTAACTCAATCCACAAGGTCGTCCCGAGCTGTGTAAAGTACGGGCGATCTACCTTTGTGACTTGGAGTCCCGGTGTAGACTGTGCGGCGTTCTCGACAATCTCAGCGATGTCTCGATTCCACCAGCATCCATATTCTGAAAGAGTAGGCGAGTTAGTTCGTGCTGATGATTCTCATGGAAAGAACCAAGCTTACTCTGGAAATGAGAAGCTGCGGACTTATCAAGTAGCCCATTGACAAATCCCCACCATCCTCTACCGTGCTCAACTAGGACGATCTTGCCTGTGTTCGGCTTTACTTTGCTGGCCAAATCCCGAACCATTTGTTCCGGGTCGCGGACACTGCAGAGTGAAAATGTCGAACAGATAAAGTCGTATCGAGCTTGCGGACAAGATTGCCGAGGGGGCGAAGGAATATATTCGTGAATATCCGACCGGAACATTCGTAGTCTTCCTGCAAGGTAGGAAATATCATTCCACTCAGCCGTCTGCTTTTCAGTTCTTGGGTCAACATCAGCCAGCTCTGGCACAGTTTCTGCGAGCTTTTCGACAGCAACGCCGAGCATTTTATCAGAAATGTCGATTCCCGTATAGGAGATCATCGGTGCTGCGTCGGGCTTGGATGGTTGTGCGTCAGCCTCTGGTGCTGCAAGTGCCTGGGTTGCTGGCTTCGGAGAGCTGATAACATAACTCCAGTCGTAAAAGGGAAGGTTACGGCCAGTGCCCATGGCAACTTCAAGCACATGTCCGAAAGCCTCCGCAGCAAGCCTTTTCCGCAGAGAAGTGATACCCATCAGCCATTCTGAGCCCTCGAGACTTTGGTCAAATTTCTTAGCAGAATCCTTGGTGAAGACGTTAGGCCGCCCTGTCGGAACTGCATCTGGCGCTGGCTCTGGGTTCTCGTGGTAGGTCGAAGAATAGGACGAGGATGCCAAGAGGCTAATATAGATTCCTAGACCCAGAGCTACTACCCCGGAGGCAAGCAAAGGTATCTTCCTGGCCTTGAAAATGGCGTCGGCCGTTTCGAGAGTATTTGGAGTTGTGGGACTAGGAGGAAGTTGGTTGGCACGACGAGAAGCGTAGCTGCAGCATGGTTAGTAATGTGTACTGGGCAGAGGACTGTTTGGACTAACGGCCGTGGAGCTCTTGCACCATGGCTCGTGGATCGAGTTGAAGCCAGCCGTCGAGATATTGTTACAGAGCTACAGGCAGCCCGGCGAGGGGCGCTCGCGCCGATTGCAAGGTGTAGCATGGTTCGCGACCGCTGCCAGGGCCGACACAAAGTGTATTTTGGTGTCTTCGGGAACTAGTTGCGGGAGAATTGGATCATGGCGCAGCTACCCATGGTATCACCTTGCCACGTTTGCGTCTTTACAAAAGTGGTATGCAGAAACACTGACCTTGCCTAGCGAGGTGTGTGTGTGTGTGTGTGTGTGTGTGTGTGTGTGTGTGTGTGTGTGTGCACAGTCATAGTGTTTACTGACCTGTTAGTAAAGCATGATCAGGTCCAGTATTCTTGATAAGATATCTATCCGCAGAGGTGAACCACCTTAGCCGAGGAAGCTACCCAAATCAAGGTACCCAGCTATGTAGGTACCTTGATTGTGTGGGACCAGGCTAGAACAGGGGGCACCCCGTCCCGGTCCCGCCATGTCTTCAATTCCAACTCCCCGGGACCGCGGTAGTTCCGCGATGCAGTGAGTGCCTTACCAACGGAGTCTCGGCGAAGACGCGAATGGGGTTGAGATGTGGGCTTCCGTATGTTTAGGAAATATACGGCAGGATAACGGGTTTGTGTTCTGCCCAATCTCAGCCTGCAGACATTGAAAACGAACGTGAGCGCTTTGGTCTGCCAAAGGCTTGGGCATCCTGCCGGGTTGATAATCTATTTCCCCGTACTATGGGCGTCATCTCGACGTAGCTGAAGTATCGAATCTAGCTTCAGCCAACCTTTGGCACCCCACCCTGCCACCCCTGGCTTTACATCTGGTCTGATAGACGCATACCATGAGAATGCCTTGCGGTCCATCTCACGGGGTCCAAGGCTGCTCCAGCTATCGAATAGCAGCCGGAGAGCTCCGAGGAGACGGCCAAGGTTGCGCATTCTCTCACTGTCAACCTCCGATTTGCTAACCCTCTTTTGCTTGGCTTTAGAAGAACTCCCGCCGGAATTGTCGCCTATGGGAACACCCCCAGATTGGCCGGAAGCAAAACTCTTAAGCAAGTACGCCCGAGCTGATTCCGGACGATAGGTAGGGATTCCGACGACGTTACCACTTGTTCCGCTGGCACTGCGGCTGCCAAGTCCATTGTCCGTGTTCTGAAGATCCAGTGCCCACAAGGCCACATCATCACAGCCCCCCTGGGTCTGTGTGAGTCGTAGCCTCTGGGAGAGTGCCTCTGTGACGACGTTGCGCATCAGTCTCCAGCGATCTGGACCTAGCATCTCCCCTCCGAACCACCTGGTCAGCACTACAATCACGTCGACAATGCCGGCCTCCCTAATCAGTCGTTGTATGAATTCGCCGCAGCCAGTTTCGCCGTCGTCCTCGCTTGCTTCGCGTACCTCTCCTGACCCCTTGTCTTGCCTGCCGTCTTGCCCTCTCCTCTTCACTCGGTAAGCCCAGGCGTTGTGCGTGGCCGTTTGTAGTTGTGGCTCGGATAGCAGGAGGGAGCGGACGAGACCTGACGCCTGAGTGCCGTCCTCGACATTTGCCACCCTTGCAACAAAGGTGGACGATTTGAAAGTGACCTGGCGGCTGGCAGACCACGGATTTCCCATGAATGCAATACTCCCGAGGTCTTGCTCCAAGGACTCTGACGGCTTCCTGCCCTGCAGACTATCATCTGAAGCTCTCTCTGGAGATTCCGGGGCTACCAAAACACTGCCTTGCATATTGAAGTCGCCTCTCTTGAGAACAGCTATAGCTCTGCCCATGATATGGACCTTTGGCTGTCCTTCGCCCCATGAGCCGTCTTCGTTGGCGGCCTTGGCCAGTCCAATGCTGATGGCCTTTGACTTTGAGTTGGCGCTGACGACAGCCTGAGCTAAGCTGAGACGACTCGACATCGGCTGCATTGGCATTGTGTGCCTGAGAAGTTCCAACACGAAGGCCAACATGAGTGGCGCCCGATTGGTGTATATGGACGCTTCGGCGATCTCCTTCTCGTCCGTAACCACCGGTAGATTCAGGGCAGCCTCCATGTCCTCTACACGTTGGGCAGGGCCTTCGGAATTGTCGCTGGGGTGGTGGTTCTTGGGACGCTTCTCGCTTGGAGAGGTAAGATGATCCCCGGATCTTTTGGTGTTTGCCCTCTTCATGTGAGTCTTGCATGCAGTCTGTAGAGCCTTGGCCGACTTTGAATCACCCAGACCTCGCTCGACCAGGTCGAGCGGAGCGTCACTTATCTGCTGGATGCTATTCACCTGCGTGTGAGACTGGTGGACTGTAAAAGCAGAGCCACGCAATCGATCAACATACCTCCGAAGCTCCACTGTCTGCAGTGCTTTGACCTGGCCCATTGCAGCCATCATTGTTACTCCCTTCCGAGAGGTGATGACCCTTAGCAGTTCTTGAAGATCCTGTTGTGAAGCCATTTCTGAGCCGGCCAGGACTATTGTTTCGTGAGTTGCTTCCTAGGACGTTTATTTGTATCGGCAGCGTTGAGGAAAAAAGAGTCCACGCAGTGTGGATGGTTTACTATGAACTGGCTACGCCACGTCAAGTAAAGTACGCAATTGGAGAATGGCTTCAACTGGAAGCACAGCAGGTTCATCGGTCCTCACTGTGACACTTTTGACTGCATCCACCTACTATCTCATCCGTATGCATTTGTTCACCACCTTAGGAATTGCACGGGGCATTCGTACTTTCCTCTCGCTGTATGCACGGCCATCTCGACCAAGAACGCACTGCCATCCCTAATCTACGTAGGTACGCAGTATGTGGCTGCATATGGAACACTGTATAGGTAGGTATATTGGCGCGGGGAAACCCCTCGGTCGAGGTATCCATAGGCACGTAGGAAGGTACTAAGGATAGAGTACCTTACGTCAACTCCACTTGCCTTTCGCAGGCAAGGTAGACACAATACCTAAAGTACGGGGCACACCTACCTTACTTTAGGTGTTTGGCACGGGTAGCTGCTACGGAACGTCACATGCTAGTTGAAGCAGTCGTTGTATTAAGGTAGGTACCTAGCCTCCAATCTGTATGAATGGGCAACAGCTCTGCACTTTGCCAAGCTACCCCTTTCCTTCGAGGCAACAGCGGAAGCCATCCGGAAGATTAGCAAATTCCAGCTGGCGAGGGCGAAGGATCAGTTTGGAAATGGCGGCATGCCAGCCCAGCGCCACAACTTTCTGAACTGATACGGACAAGGTACCTTACACACCCTGATACCACATCAATTGGCGGCCCGGGGCTAGCCACCTTGCCAACCGTCATCCCTTTGCTCAGAGAAGCTCGAGCCTCGAGCTTCAAATCCATCTGCGCTTCACTTTCGCATCTCAACATCGACATCCAGCGTGACCAGGAGCTCTGGCCCGTTCAAAGTCAGTGCCCGGATCGCGTCTCTTCTGTCCAAGAGCGCAGGGTGCTGCGTTCAACGGCCCATTTGACTACGTTAGTCTCGCTTCACGGCAAGTACCTTACAGCTCATCGCTCGCTCACCCCCTGCACAACGACGACACTATACATGCATAGCTTGGTGAAGCAACTGGTCGTATGCTTCGGACGACATCGCTTGCAACTCGGACGACATCATTTTTCCACGACTTGGCCCCGAACCTCCAGTCGGAGCACCCCCCTCGCCTACCTTACTTATTGAAACTACCCCCTTAAGCTCCCACAACAAACAACTACATCTGTTCTCGGATATAATGGTACGCTCTCTGTCCAGTATTACGATTCGCTAGCCCTTGAGATTCTAAGTCTGGCGTTGGTAGGAGGTGTTGAGCAAGGCGTCCCGAGTGGCCACGTCCAAGACTGCGCAGCGGACACTTGTGAACGTGAGCCTCCTCGTGGGCACGTCGCTATTTCTGCTGCCCTTTGCTGCTATCGCCTCGATCCTTTTTTTCCGCGACTACCTCCCTGAGCAAGTAGTGACGACCCCAGTTCACCTCCAGTATGGGTGAGTTCTTCTCGCGCTTCCCGCGTGCTTCACGTTTGATCCGACCAAGATGTTGCTGTCTAACCTCATCTCTAGATCAGGTGCAAATCCCTTTGGAACTGCATCTATCCCGACGTCTGCTCTGCGAACGCAACAGGAGTATGATGTGTCTGTCACGTTGTCTATGCCCCGTTCGCCTGCCAACACGCAGCGAGGCAACTTTATGATTGCCATCCACCTGCTGGATATTGGAGCCTTGTCGACGGGAAGCGACAAAATACAGCCTCATATCGCTCCTGAACCCTATGCCCATTTCGACGGAAAGACAGTCCTTTTGTCTTCAAGGCGGCCTGCTTTGGTGCCATATCAAGATCCAATGGTGTCGATAGCGTCGCGAATCCTCTTCCTAGCCTACCATGTTTTGTTCTCCGATTCGGAAACTTGCGTACTGACCGTACCGATGGCCGAGCGCGTTGAGTTGGCCAAAGGCTCCTCCTTACCCGCTTCAGCGTACCTTGAACTTCAGGGCGGCCAGGATATCGAGACGTACTCTGCCTCGATAACGCTGACTGCTCAACTACGGGGATTGCGTTGGCTGATGTATAACTACCGCGTGATGACCCTGACCGCTGCCGTCCTGTTATTCTGGACATCCGAGATCATTTTCATGGCGGTGGCATGGCTGGCATGGTCTGGGCTCTCAAGATCGTCACAGGGCTCTGGCATCGGCAATGGAGGAATCGTGGAAAAGTCGTACAATAAGTCGATGGGTCAAGTCAAGCGAGAGGATGGAAGTGGCATCGATGAGCTGTCGGATGCCCCGAGGACCTTCCCGACCTATGGTAATCAGGCTCCGTTACGATATGAGCCTGAAGTCAAAGATGAGCAGCATGCGGGGCCTCGTATGGAGGACCTGCTCCCGCTCGGTGGCGAGGCCGACGATGAGGAAGAAGATGACGGAAGGGGCTTCAGAGGGGATTCGGGCATTGGAACGAGTTATAGTGAGGGAGGTTCCAGTAGTGTGCGGCGGAGGTCATCGCATAGAAGTTGATGAGGGAGTGCGTGCTGTGGTGGTATGGTTGCTGACCTCTTACTGGGGTCTGGCGGAAGTACCTGGAGGGAGCAACACGTCGGGATAGAAAAAATCAAGAGGCTATTGAGAGACGCCGCCGAGGGTTCGGCATTCACTCATTAAAATGTTTGTAACCAAGCTGCTTGCGTCGACTTCCTTGGAGTGCAACGAAACGAAGGTACTACAGGGCTAGGTGGTACATAACTTGGGTAGGAAAATGAGGTGTGAGCCAGCTGTCAGCGACAACCTTGACCGTGATTGTTCGTCAGGCATCACGAGCACCAAAGTCGCCATCTGATAATGGAAGGTCCAGATGAGGTAGGTATCGCCATATCGGTGTGCCCTTGCTTACCTAACAGGAGGCGGGGAGGCACCTGAGTGCAGGTACGGAGCTAAGGTGCCTTAAGTCAAGGTAGTTAGTCGCGGCCCGGAAGACCAATATCTGCCACTGCCATGGTACCTCGTCGATGGAAGTGCCAGCCCCCCACAGTGCATCAGTGCACTTCATCCCAGCGGATGTAGGAAGCTGCACTTGTGGGAACATCCAAGCACGGACACGGGACAGCCAAGGAACATTTCCCCTCCAGGGCACTATCTTGTCGCTTCCTTGCCCTCCCACACCGCCAGCTGCCGCCGCCATCGTCTTGAGCCTTGTCCTGACTTCGACCACACCACGCTGTAGCCAACAATACTCTGGTATTTTTCAGCCTCATCATCTTCTACTTTTCAATAATTTCCCCTCCCAGATCCCATCTGCCTCTCCACTGTCGCCGGGGCAATATGCGCACTATTTGTACCTAGGCCTCCTCGCCCAAGGTCTCATTGCCCCCGGTCGTCAGATCCACCACAACCAGGTCCATTCGGAGACGGTGAAGAAGAGCAAATTCTACTTCAGCTTCGACCTCATAGTCGCATCAACTGCTACCCCATCACGCTGCCGTCCACTCGCTACCCGCCACTGCGACTTTTGACGTCGTTGAGCCAACAAACCACTCTTGCAGAACACCGTTGCTTGCGTTCTCCTCGGCAATCACCAAGACAAGAAGCAACCTCCCCCACTATTCCCACCTCGTCCGCCTTGTGCCGCAGCGAATCCCGCAAACCACTCACGTAACTATCGACTCAACAACCCACCCGAACTACGGCCTTCAGCTGATATCACGCAGCTTTACCCAGCTGTCTGGCCGCCGCGTTTGCAAGGAAAACCTTCAGATCGCCGCATTGTCACTGGCGACCGCGGTGTCCTTCGCCGATTCTCCTTCCTTGCTCAGACTGCGGCGCTTCTACGCGCTCTAGTCCGCTTTGCAGTCATGCCCTGCTTCAAAGGGATCGCTGTTAGCATACATGCCAACGGTGCCCCTCTTCCTGAGCATGGTATGCAAAAGCAGTCACGACTGTCACGCATCAGCACCTATATACCCGTGCCCCAGCCAAGCATCAATCCCGATTCGAACAAGCCCGAGCCTGCCAAATTCGCCATATCAATCACCCTCTTGACACCCGGCTTGCCGATTCCATACTCGACTCCGAAGTCCACCGAGACGAACCCTTATCCCAAGCCCCAGTTTGTCGGAGGCCTGCCCACCGCCGCTCATGGTCCCTCAAAGTTCTCCGGAGTCGTCAACCCTTATATTCCCATGACCAATTCAGAGAATGAGACGATAGCCGCCTACATATACTTTGACGGAAGATCCAAGGAGGAAGTCGCCACGCTTCTGCGACCGGGTGAGGAGACGTGGGTCAACAGTCGTTGGGTCCAGGTACCCGACTCTGAAGGCGGAGGTCTTGCCGAGCGCGAATTCCTATTCCGCGAAGTCGGCTTAGAGCGCTGGCTTAACGGCTTGGACCTTCAAGGTCACGATGCCGCAGAGAAGCTGGAACGTCGCCGTCAAAAGTTTGAGAAGCGACGCAGGAGGCAAAAGGTTACGACTGGAGCGACGAGCATGCAAGTTGAGGAGGGCCCCAACGGCCCTAGAGACACTCTGCGCTACGGTGCCGAGGACGGATCTCCTGTTGAGGCTGTCTTTGGCGAAGACGACTCAGACTCCTTGTCTGACGATGACGAGATCCCCGAGGCAACTGGACAGATCAAGGTGCTGATGTTCCGTGTGCTTGCTTCTGGCGAAATAAAAAAAGGAGAATACTCCCCACAGTTCGACGCTCACGACGATGACGATGACGCGGAGTCCGGAAAGCAAGGCAATGGAAAGAGCGGCGTGGATGCTGACGTGGAGCATACCACAAGCTTTGCCAAGCCCAAGACGTTGGATCCGAAGACTATTAGTACTCAGACCGTGACAGGTATCGATGGCCCCGACAAGCCATATGCTTCTTTCACATTCTTCTACCGTGGGGAGAGTAAGTCAGCCATCTTCTCAAGAAATGGAGTAATGTTACGTTCTAAGAAGCTAATAACGCGCAGGGCAACTCCAAAAGATTGGCATCATTGCTTCTTCAAAGACAGCCCAGGCAACGCCGGGATCTGCCAAACGCCGGTCTGGGCAGCTAGACTTTTCCAGCCTCGGCCCCTTAAAAACCTCTGGCACCGTTGGATTTTCTGCCTTCAGAGACCAGGATACAGAGGCCACCAGACGACGGAAAGCCCGCAAGAAGAGCAACGGCAATATTGGGGGAGCTCTCAATGACGACAGTGACGACGACGATGACGAGAGTGAACTTCTTGGAAAGATGCAGGATATTGATGAAAAGGACATCAATAACAAGCTCGCTCCCGAAGATGTCAGATCTCAAGGGGAGCTTGCTGATGGTGTGAACCGAATTCGAGTATGTGTCACTCCCCACAGGCTCTTGTCTAAGCTAGAAAACTGACTCCTCATCAAACAGCTTAAGAGAGCACATTCAGCCGAGCCCGACCGCTCTGAGAACGCAGGTGCCACCAATAACTCTGCAAACTCGGGCACGTTCGGTAGTCCATTGATTGGCGCTGCAGGCAATGGCCATGTTTCTGGGGGCGTGGACCAGGACCCTAGCAACGATGCTACATTAGAAGGAACGATTGGGAGCCCCTTGAAGAAACATCGGCCGAGTATTTCTGGCGGCGATGACCTAGCCCGAGCCCAGTCAAATAACTCAAATTTGAGCGATGTCATGAACCGCGGGGTCCCGGCACAGACAAACGCGCCGGCTACCGTAGGTACGAATGTGGAAGAGGAAGAGCTGTGATGCTCATGCATTTATACTGGTTCTATCAGGGGGGAGGGGAAGGGGCTGCGGGAGTCTGGGCCACATGGTAAAAAGGGTCCGTGACGATACCCACGACAGCCGAATGCGATGGATAAGAAAAGCGTCAGAGGTCCCGAAGTAGGTTTGCACGGTTATTTTGTATGCCGCTCTGGCAAGTCAAGTGGCGATTCAGCTAGGTCGCGACCGCACAGGAAGCCGCGAGGCCCGGCCTGCTTTCCAATAGAAACGTGTATTCTTGAGTGTGTACGTACTACTTACTGGGTGGACATCACTATGTAGCACTCTGTGCCTCAGCTTTCAGGAATCTACACAAGGAAGGCATCTCGCATGAGTAATCGTGTGAAGTATTGAGGAAAAAGACCTTGAGAGGGAGATGAATCGGTAACGTTCTGTTTGCTCACAGACAAACATGAGCGTGCCTTCTTGTGGCCTCTATTGTATCCGGCAATAACATTGCTAGGATAAAGCTTAGAAAACTTCCTGCCTTTGTTATCGACCGCAGGCGATGACGACGGTCGCTGTGGAAGTGAATACCTACTCTCGCGCATATGCGCGATCATTCGAGTTGAGGAATAGAAGTAGTTCAGAGCGAGAAGACCAAGCAAGGGGGCTAGGCGGAGGATACAGAATACAACTACTATTTATCGAGGTATTGTCTATCTGGGTTGCCTTAAGTCGATCCCTCGACACCATAACTGCCACACACAAACACCTGTGCCTGAGTTCGTCTCGAGGACCCCGACCCTCCGTTGCCTCAGAGGACTCTATGTATTTATCTCTATCATATCGCCATGACGCCGCTTGGACGAGCAAGGAAGGAATGAAGGCCAAACGCTTCTAGGTCGGAATGTCCAACAAACCACCAGAATTCTCATTATCGTACATTAGCATAAATACTACAGGTTCTTTTCCGTGATTTCCATGTAGAACGCCCTGAGAAAGGAATCGCCACCCATATCTCCTTTTTGTGAACCCCCAATCCGCCCGTTTCCCCACCCGTCTTGTGCCGCGATTGAACCGAGGAACACACCTTGCCATCGCCTCGTCTTATGAATAGACATGATTGCCAGATTGGGGCCAAACCTTTCCACGGATTCTTATGCGCGCTGTAAAATGGCATGGAAGCGTTCAATGACCTATTTAGCGCGACATTAGTCATGGGTGAATGTTAACATAGTCGGCCAAAGCTGCTTCACTTACCTCTGGGTTTGACTTGACGAATGGGAGATCAAAAAACATGTACTTCTCGTTCTTGAGCAATTCAACAACTGTCACCATGAGACCCCAGGGTTGGGGCCAGTAGCCGATCAGGCGTTCCCAAAGGACTCGAGTGATTTGCTGCCTGATTTCCGTCTCCTCAGGGTCATTCATGTCCTGGCCGAAGATCTCCAGTAAGATACGACTGAAGTAGTTGGTATGGGCATTGGGGAACCGCAGTTGGTTTGCAATGCTAGTGATGAGGTAGTAGCGGGCCTCAGGGGGCAGCTCGTGTAGCAAGATAGACATTGTGGCCACATCGGATGAGGCTGGATTGAAGACATCCGTACCCTTCTGAGTTGACTGCTGGACAGCATAGTTGCCGACATGAAGAGTGACTGCCTCAACCACTCGCAAATTGGCATTGATAGGCACATGCCCAAAGCCCGTGTCAGATCGCTGGCTCTCGACAATGGCTCGCGTGATGTGTGCTAATGTATCCTCGGACGGGCCGTTCTGCAGCGCGTGGTCAAGGACATCGAGCAAGCCCAAGTCGCGCAGAATAGACGCAGAGTTGTCTAGCGATTCAGGGGAGTCCCTGACACCATCTACTCTGTCAGCTTGCAGACCGGGGAATGAAGGGTCCGGCATCTTGGGATGGGTTGCTGGGTTCGCTGTCAATATGGCGTTGAGAAGCTGCTTGCAGTGAGGAGGGACACTAGCTATGAGCTGATGTGAGTGTGCCGCGAGGTAGTCCGAGTAGTC